AGCTACACAGTCTGCTTATTTCATTACAAGACATAAAGAGCCAAGAACTCTCACGTATCCTGTCCCTTCTGATAGTTTTCCCTCCAGCCTCCCAAAGCCTGTTGACAGCATGCTAATAAGGTCCCTCTCTCTCCCTTTTGCCTGCTTCCTCTTCAGTGGGGCTACTTCTCTGGTCAAAGTTCTTGGACAGCCTATATTTGGAGAGTTATGGGAAAATGATGGGCTTTGGAAGGAAGAAAAAGGCTATTCATTTCCTCATTCAACCAGCCCTATTAAATGCAACCAAGTGCAAGCCAGGATAGGTTTGCAATCTTGGAGGCCAGTTAAAATGCTAAAACCGACCAGGTGCAGTGGCTCATGCCAGTAATCCCAGTACTTTGAGAGGCTGCCGTGGGAGGATTGCTTGAGATCAGTTTGGGCAACATAGCAATACCCTGTCTCTACCAAAAAAAAAAAAATTATCTGGGCATGGTGGTGGACATTTGTAGTCCCAGCTACTTTGAAGCTGCTTTTCTTAGGCTGGAAATATGGACCCATGTCTCATGGTAGTAGGGATGCTTCAACCAGAACGCAGCTTGTCATTACAAAGGAAGGAGCACTGCCTCAGCACTAGCAGGCTTCTTAGAAACGCCCAGCACAGTTATTCAGCAGCCACAATGTTTGACATTTGTTTCCGGCTTCCAGTTGCAAGAATATGGTGTTAACTTTGATCTCTAATGCCCACAGGGCTTTGCTGCCCATGAAAGTTCTCCTTGTATAGGACTGTTGAGAAGCCCCTACAATAAAGAAGGCACACATAACTCTAACACATACACAGATAAGTGCTATTTGATGATAATCCTGTACTGCAAAAGACAACTGGTCAAACATTTATGGAACACCTACTATGCATAAGGCACTGTGTCAGCTTTCTATAAGGCCCTGTGGGCCCTTATAGAAAGGCCCCTCCATTATTACCAGACTTCACCTCCTACCACACTTCTATTACCTTCTACTCTGCTTCAGCTACACTGGCCTTCCTACACCTGGCATGCTCCCAGTGCGGGGGCCTTTGCACAGCTGTTCTCTCTGGCTGGCTGGCACTTTTCTTCCCCTAGATATTAACATGTCTAACTCCTTCACCTTCTTTAACTCTTGCACAAATGTAATCTCAATGAAACCTACTCTGAACATTCTTTTTTAAATTACAGTATTTTTTTTTTTTTTGCTGGATTCTTACTGTCACCCAGGCTGGAGTGCAGTGGCATGCTACCACGACCTCAACTTGCTGGTCTCAGGCGATCTTTCTGCCTCAGCCTTCTAAGTAGCTGGAACTACAGGCGCACGCCTGGCTAATTTTTTTGATTTATTGTAACAATGAGGTCTCACTAAGTTGCCCAGGCTGGTCTCGAACCCCTGGACTGAGGCAATCCTCTTGCCTCTGCCTCCCAAAGTGCTGGGATTACAGGCATGAGTCACTGTGTCTGGCATAAAATTACAGTCTTTCCAACCCCACTATCCTTTTACTGTATTCTTTTGTCTTTTCCCACTGAATATGTTGCCTAATAACATACTATATAATTTATGTATGTATTGATTGTCTATGCTTCCTCACTATAGCTTGAGCTCCACGAGGGGAGGACTTTTTTTGGGTAAATTTTGTTCACTCACTGATTATTCCAAGTGCCTAGAACAGTCTCCCATATACTTATATGCTTATACATATTTGTTGAATGAATGAGTGAATAAATGGAGTCAGACATCTAATACCCATCTTACAGTAGGGCTGTACCTAAATTATCCACGACAAAAAGAGATTTTGCCATCTTGTTCTAAAACTAAAAAGGATGTACACACAGATTTTTTTTTTTTGAGTGGAGTCTCACTCTGTTGCCCAGGCTGGAGTGCAGTGGCATACTCACGGCCACCCCAGCATCAACCTGCTGGGCTTAGGTGATCCTTCTGACTCAGTCTTCCAAGTAGCCAGAACTACAGGCGTGTGCTACTTCACTTGGCTAATTTTTGGTTTATTGTAGATACAAGGTCTCTCCAAGTTGTCTGGGCTGGTCTCAAACCTGCGGGCTCAGGCAATCCACTTGCCTCAGACTCCCAAAGTGCTGGGATTACAGGCTGAGCCACCGAGCCTGGCCCACAGAGTTTTTTTTGATTGAGTAAATTCCAGGTTACTAACACACCCTCTCCTGAAATGTAGTATTTGGTTTACTTCCAGTAACCTTTAAATAAAGTAAACATGCCAATGATCAATGACCAAAGAAGACTATCTCTGTGTATCCCTGCCCCATTTCTCAAAGATAACCATGGTCATTTGCTTTGATTCGATTCTTTTGCCTTCCTCTGCAAGTGGATGTGTCCTCGTCCCCCAACCTTTTACTCTCTCCCTCTGTGGTCTCATTCCATCTAGTGACATGATTCTCAAATCTATATCACTTGATTCTTAATCTAGTCTCCTAGTTTCTATCCTGTAATTTCTAGGCCTACTTGATGATTCCATTTCAATGTTTCATCAGCATTTTAAGTCCCTTGAGACTGGCTTCTCCTGACTTTCTTTTTTTTTTTTTTTTTTT